AGGCGCCGAGCCCAGTGCCTGGTTTCTTATGCACTTCTTTTAACCTGCCTTGGGGCAGGATAGCAAAATTGCCAGCACTAAAACCATCCCACAAATTAACTAAGCAGATTATGAGTTTAAGTGACTTCACGATTCTACGGTTCATTTGGAACTGGGGACAAGAATCATTTATTTCCTTTGATGATCTAACTCTTAAATAGTTTCATCCCATGTTGATCAAATAAGCAAGTCTTACTTGTGAGTAGCATCTTAAAAGACACTTGATGATAAAAACAAACAAACAAAGGAATAGCCGGACGTGGTGGCTCACACCCGTAATCCTTGGGAGGCCAAGGCGGGTGGATTGCCTGAGCTCAGGGGTTTGAGACCAGCCTGAACTAGAGTGAGACCTCCGTTTCTAAAACTAGCTGGGCATTATGTTGGGCACCTATAGTCTGAGCTATGTGGGAGGCTGAAGCAATAGAGTCGCTTGAGCCCAAGAGTTTGAGGTTGCTGGGGGCTATGACGCCATGGCATTCTATTGAGAGTGACCGAGTAAGACTTTGTCTCAAAAAAAGAGGGCAGTATCTGTGGCTCAAAGGAGTAGGGCGCTGGCCCCATATACCGGAGGTGGCAGGTGCAAACCCAGCCCCGGCCAAAAACAGCAAAAAAAAAGCAAGAAAAAAAGAAAAGAAAAGGTAGGTTTAAGCTTGTTGATGAGGAGAAATACCTCCTCCCAAATCCCTGTTTCAGGTGACCCGCTCTCTGCCACTTCTAATTTTCCCAGCTTGTTCTCTCTGCCATTTGGACTCCAGAGTCTTGCACCTCACCCGTGCTTGGGGCTGAGAAGGCAGAGGTGGGACTGGTTGGAGTGAAAGTGTGAGTTGCGGAGAACAAACAGCCTCAGCCAACCTTGCTGACATGCTCTGTCTGCAGGAAGGTAAAGCTAGAAGCATATTTCCCACTGTGCCTGTTTGATCTACATCACGAGCAAAGCCAGGTTTTTGTTTGTTGAAATAGCAGCGGCTCAGTCTCTGGATTAAGCGAGGGCACTTTTATCCCAGCCATTTTCCACAGAGCTGCTCCTTTCCCTTCCCCACTATCCATGTGGCATCAACGTTGTGTGGCTTTGGTGACGTCCCAGCCAAAAGGTCTCCACCTCCAGGAGCCTGATAGAGTCACACAGCACCCTGGACACCCTGCTCCCCTCAAAAGAAATTTCAACAAATGAAAAAATAGTCTAGGCTCAGCGCCCGTAGCTCGGCGGCTAGAGTGCCGGCCTCATACACCGGAGCTGGCGGGTTCAAATCCAGCCTGGGGCCTGCTAAACAACAATGACAACTACAACCAAAAAATAGCCGGGCATTGTGGCAGGCGCCTGTAGTCCCAGCTCCTTGGGAGGCTGAGGCAAGAAAATCACTTACGGCCAAAAGTTTGAGGTTACTGTGAGCTGTGACACCACGGCACTCTACCGGGGGTGACATAGTGAGACTCTGTCTAGCCTATTCCTCTGCCCACACCATGATGCATCTTATGAGTGCTGCTACACTTCATCTTCTTCTTCAACCCCTTCAACTCTGTTAGATTCTGAGAGTTAGGCTTGTCTGACTTAGATAGTAATCCCCACACCCAGCTCAGACAGCCAAATGCAAGGCAATCAGGAACTATCTCAAAGCAAATAAGTAACGACTGCGTAATGAAACCAAAAAGCCAAAAGGACGGGATTCTGGGAGTTTCCAGAGAGTGGAACACATGCGGTTCCTTGGAGGGCGGCACCCCAGAGAGAGCATGGAAGCTCCGTGCCCCTTCTCCCACAGACGTGTCCTTTACGATGATATCCTTCACAATAAACCAGTGCAGTAAGTGCTGCCTTGAGTTCTATGAGTTGCTCTAGCAACTTAACAAAAGGAAGGGGCGGCTCAGTGCCTGTGGCTCAAACGGCTAAGGCTCCAGCCACATACACCTGAGCTGGCAGGTTCAAATCCAGTCTGGGCCCTCCAAACAACAATGATGGCTGCAACCAAAAAACAGCCAGGCGTTGTGGCGGGTGCCTGTGGTCCCAGCTACTTGGGAGGTGGAGGCAGGAGAATCGCTTGAGCCCAGGAGTTGGAGGTTGCTGTGAG